TATGTGCCTCCAACTCACACTCTTCCTGTGGGACCCCCACCTATTTGTAGGGATATCCGATGTCCTGGTTCTTGTTCCAAGTGTGGTGCGTTTGTGAAATGGTGGGGACATTTTATGTTTGAAACGGACGACCTGTTGCTGAGATCAAATATTCATACTCATTTTCACTCAGTTGAGGACGCAGAAGCTGGAGATAGGAAGAAGGACTGGAGAGGCTTGAAGCCAAGGAAAACAGGTGTCAAACGGGTGCAGGAGCGCAAGGGATGTATGAACAGAAACAATGTGTGCCGCGCCCGTTTCCCCAGGGAAGTTGTTGTTAATACCACAGTTTCTGATGATGGTCACATATCAGTGAGACATGTCGAGCCCATGATGAATCCGGTCAACCCCGTCCTCACTTATTTCTCACGATGCAACACGGATGTGACCAGTCTGTTGTCGGGTACAGCGGTGAAAGCTGTAATCGCCTACGTTGCGGATTATGTTTCAAAGGTTTCCTTAAAGTCCTATCAGCTATTCGCATCTGTTTTTCAAGTCTTCAATGACAACTCTGAAATGCTTCGTGGTACAGAGAAAGAACACGAACGTTCGCGTCAGCTAATGATGAAGATGGTGAATTCCCTTTCTACCAAGATGGAAATTGGCAGCCCGATGGCTGCCATGTATATGCTGGGCAATCCGGACCACTATGCAAGTCATACCTATGTGCCCTTTGCATGGAAGTCACACACCTTGTTTGTGAAGAACTTTTGGGCCGGTCGTGATATTGTGTTGGAGGATACACCAGTTCAGGAGGAGCAAGTTCTGGTGACTAAGTTTGAAGGGCAATTTGTGCCTGGATCAGCTGTTGATGACTATCGATATCGGCCGTTCGTGCATCAGACCCTCAGTCTATTTGAGTGGACTCAATGTTCAGATAAGCAGGTTCGCACTGCTAAGGAGCGGCGTCAGTTTAAAGACGACAAGGCCAATGTTATTGGCAAAACCTCCTCTCATGCCCCACCAGATGACAGCGACGACGAGGATTGTGTTAAGCCCCAGTCGGGGGGAGCCCTTTCTGGGGAGCGAGACATTGTGTTCTCTGACAGCGACTGGGAGACTGATGAGGAAGACGAAGCTATTGCTGCCAAGCAGAAGAAACGGGATGCAGATTCCAAGCCGGTGAGACATTCGTTCTTGTTGGGACACCCTCGGCATGAGTCTCATGTGGTGTCATGCGACCTAAATAAAGCGTCGACGGTAATTCCTAATTTCATTGGTGGTGCTTTGCCACGTGCCGACAAGGGAGATCGTAACTTTTATTGTATGACAATGTTAACCCTCTTTAAACCGTGGAGATCCCCGGCTGATTTAAAGGATGCCGACTCTACATGGGCCCAGACATTTGATGTACATGTCTTCACCAAGCGACAGCTGGAGCTGATGAGGAATTTCAATGTTCGGTACGAGTGCAACGATGCTAGAGACGATCATTTTGCGCAAATGAGGCGCAAAGTTCAAGAGGCAGAAATTGCTCGGCCGCCTCAGGGTGCCCACCTTCTCGGCCTGCGAGATGTGTTGTTCAATGACATGAGTCCAGACTTGTACGACCTGGACGATGAGCAAGAAGTTGACGACGATGCTTCTGATGTTTATGTCGGGCCTAAAACAGTAAAGATGAGGCAACAAGAAGACAATATGATTTCTATATTGTCCTCCAGTGGATGGATGAGGAAATCCTTCACAGGTACTCTCCCTCTTTATCCCACCGAGCGTGTGTATCCTGAATACCACACAAGAACATCTTGGTCCACAATAGTGAAAAATGAGCGTATGAAGTACACTGCAAATAAGCTCATTAACTTACCACCTCCGGAAATCTTGGAGCAGAGGAAGAAATTTGTGTGGGACAATGTCACAGAACTTCCACCCAGCTACTTTCTCGGGACTCAGACACTGTCGGCTTCGGCTGCAGTAGACATGAAGTTGTCTATTATTAAGGACTTTTTCCTCAACAAGGAGCAAGCCAGAGCATTCGGAATTCTCGCTGATCATGCATCTACTCCTCAACGTCTTCCATTGAGGATGTACATGGGGGGGATGGGAGGTACCGGCAAATCAAGGGTTATCAAAGCCATGGTGGAATTGTTTGTTAGGCGCAAAGAGGCATATAGAGTCATTGTTCTTGGCCCAACTGGCTCTGTGGCTGCTATGCTCGATGGGTCCACTTACCACTCGGTCTTCCGGGTACCAAGAGAGTCTAAGGGTAAAAACAGGGATGACATAGATGGAGTGTTGAACAACACTGCCTCCGTGGCCGCTATCAATGAACGTCTCCAAGGTGTCGATTATGTTTTGTTAGATGAGATATCCATGGTATCATGCAATGATCTTCAGACATTGGCCACACAGGCTGCAAAAGCACGGAATATACATGATGTGACATTTGGAGGGCTCAGCATGGTAACTGCAGGTGATTTCGCTCAGCTGCCTCCAACTACTGGAGCTTCTTTGTACAGCAATGATGTAAGTACAGACATGCATGGCGCATCAGAGATCAGAGGCCAAAATGCCGTGCTTGGTAAGGTTCTGTGGCACCAATTCAATACTGTGGTATTGCTGCGCGCAAACATGAGACAGAAAGAACAGACTGAGGCTGATGACAAGCTGAGGACCGCCTTGACGAACATGCGATACGCTGCCTGTACAGCTGAGGATATCACCTTCCTCAAGTCTCGAGTAGCTGGGTTCCGTCCCGGAGACCCCAGACTTGACAGCGCAGATTTCAGGCACGTATCCATCATAACCGCTTGGAACTCTCAAAAAGATGTGATTAACAAGCTGGGTGCCAGAAAGTTCAGCCTAGATACTGGAAACGAGCTCATATCCTTTTACTCCATTGACAAAGTCAGCCCAAGAGCTGTGGATAAGACTAAATGGAAGTCTTGTGAACAGTCCGCGGTGAAATTGATCGGCCAGAGACTACAGAACAAGTTGTGGGATGCAATGCCCTCTGCTAACTCTGAGATGCTGCCAGGCAAGCTGACACTTTGCGTGGGTATGCCGTTATTGCTGAGGTCAAACGATGCTACTGAGCTCTGCATGACCAAGGGCCAGGAGGCTGTTGTCGTCGGGTGGGATGAGTCAATCGGGCCACAAGGCCAGCGAGTACTTGACACGCTGTTTGTTCATCTTGAAAATTTGACCAGGGTCATCCAATTACCTGGCCTTGCGGAAAATGTAGTGCCTCTTATGAGAGGGTCTATGCACACAACGGTCTTGTTAGAGGATGACACCTTGCTTTCCATTATGCGTGAACAGATAACTGGTCTGTTAAACTTCTCCATTACAGATTACACTGCCCAAGGAAGGTCACGTCTCAAGAATCCAGTCGATTTAACTAATTGCAAAGATCACCGTGCATACTATGTGGCATTGTCCAGGGCAACCACAGCGGAAGGCACTATTATTCTTCAGGATTTTACGACTACCAAATTGACTTGTGGGATGACGGGACACTTGCGCCAGGAGCTAAGGGAATTGGAGGTATTGGATGAGATCACTAGACTGAAGTTTGAGGGAAAGCTTCCGCAATCAGTTGCAGGCATCTACAGGCGTAATCTTTTGAGGTCATATAAGCTTTGGAAAGGTAACACAGATCCAGCACATTTTCATGAGTCTATGAAATACAATGATCAGCTTGATGGAGCCACCTTAGACTCTGTAGATTATGCAGAGTGGAGACCATCTGGTTCGAAAGCAAAGCGCCAACATGCACAGGAGGGAGACGACAGTATCACAAACAATCCGACACACAGCTGCAAGAAGCACAAGGCACAGGCAAACAACGTGACTGCTTTAACAACCCCGCAGGGACAACATCCGTTGATTGCTAGGCCGATTGGTATGGTATGGGACGCAGCAGACTACAGTTGCGGGTACGATTCGACCCTAGGCATTTTTGCCAACATCTGGCTGCACAACCCAGATCTCTGGTCAGAGAGATTCTGTACCATAGGGCCCTATTTTCTGTACTGGACCTTGCTCCTCAGGCAATTCGGGGTTGGTCAAACAACCATTGAAGGTGCCAGAGATAGCATGCGGGCCAGGATGCATAATGCCAGGCCCAATGATTTCCCGTATGGCCAAAGGGGTACGACTATAGACCGCATAGCTAGGCTGGTCCTTCCAGAAACCACTCATGCAACTGGACGGCGCTTCTGCTCGGCATGTGGCTATCAGAGTGGGGAGCTTCACAGCTTACTTGAGCCTTACATGTGTGCTGCACTGAGCGTTGCACAACGTGCAGCTCACCCAACCGGATTTCCGGTGTCCGAGTGGCTGAAAACGGAACTGGCCGCTTCAGTTTTAGGGTGCCCTGCTTGTAGACACACTGGCCGCCGTGCTCGGTTGCAGGTACAATATTCTGTGGACAATGTGCCACCTATAATGATGATATCAGTAGACTGCGGTAACATGCTGTTCAGCCGGTCCTTACTTTTTGACGTGGATGGCTCAAACGTGGTTTCCAGGTTGCGTGGTATCATATACGGAGGGGAAGCTCACTTTACCGCCAGATACATATCGACTCATGGAACGGTGTGGTTCCACGATGGGATATCTACAGGCAGCAACTGCATGGAAGAAGGTCACATAGATTCAACTGACCTCTTGTCCCTTACTCGGGCAAGGGGAAAGTCCGCTCTTACCCTGATATATGCTCTTGAGGAGTAGGTAGGAGGGCCGGGTGGGGAAGAGATGTATGTGGCAGAGGGTGTGATGGCGAGGGGAGTGTTCAATGACAGAGGTTGGATGGGTGAGAGACAGATTTTTTTGCGAGGTGTGTGCAATGTAACTGGTGTCGGATACTTATCAGATACCTGATTTGATGTTTATTAGCTATCGCTTGTACTTGTACAAAACAACATAAATCATCCCCACTCTTATTTTATTACTTGTCAGAATAGACAAGTGAACGAACATAAAATATCATATAAAAACATACAGTGCGCCTTCCAAGGTACGCTTGGAGGGATTCGAACCCCCGACTTTCAGTATATCCCCAATTGGAGAGACCGAACGATCTTACACGGTGATCCACAAGCACCATAGTTGTCACTGGACTACCAAACTGAAACGCATGGCCGCGGAGCGGCATTCCAGGGACTCGTACCTGCCATGCCGAGCATTGGCCCCTCAACCACACGTGAATATGTACACCCGCAGTTTGAGCGTTTCCTATTCTCCGTCTTCAGACTCTTCACCTTCATGCTTGCGCTTTTTGTGCCGGTGCAGCGACGAAGGGTCAGAGGTTGCAAAATCACATCTTGATCCATCGGACAGGATGACGGTACACTGCAGGGGTCTCGCGTTGGTACTGGTGCGGATTTTCGGTCAAAAAGACCCATGGGGGATTAAATACAGGGTACGCACTGAATTCTGATGTGGGTCTCAAGATTTGATCTCTGAAGCGTTTTGTGGCCACATTCGGGGAAAGGGCATTGGAACATACTAGAGGACACGAGGAAGAATTTCAGTGCCCGCTAGTGCCGCGATTATAAGAAAAGCGTACTATTCTTCTTTGTTCTTCGCGTGAAGTAGTGTGTGCCGTGGCAGATCCGACGGGCGTTTCATAGTAGCCCCACAGGTGGTGCATGTAGCTCTTCGATTTGAGTCGGATTCTTGCTCCTGACCAGAAAATATGGTTAAAACGCGTTATCTCTGATAAAGTCGCGTCGAATTACCGGATGCGTACTGGAACCAACTGCGTAGGCGCCAGTGGGGATTCCGCGAGGCATTTCGATGGCGCGGGGTGGCTCGAGGTGGGAGAATATTTGCTTGGGGTATTGACAATGCTACGTCGCATTCACCTAGCCTTTAAGTCGAGATAACGGCCTGAGACATGTGGCGTAGGTCAAAATATCCTGTTTGATTACAACAAAGAACGTTATCGGAACTTCGGGCCGACTACTAATTTCGGTTCAGCTCGGTCAAAGCAGCAGTTCGCGATGAAAGAGAGAGCGTATAATTACATTCAGACGAGTAAGCCCCGGATCGCTGGTTGTTCCTCGAGAAGCCCCAAAGCTTAAAGTCAACACAGAATTTGTCGACTTGCACGCATAACCCCAATATTTTTGTGGCTGCTCGTTCCAAAACCAAAGGAGAGGGTCGAACAAAGGTATGTGTAGTTTCCAAGTATTCAAAGAGCCATTGGAAATTTTTTTCCAGTGAAGTTTGTTCACCCGTTGAAAGGCCTCCCTAAGCCTATTGTCACTGCACCCCCTTTTGAACCAAATGAAACTTACGAATTTAGGGCTTTGTACCAATCAATTAATCACCGATTGAACTAACGCCAAGGGCCCTCTGTAAACGATTTATCGATGAATTGGAGGTTTGATTTGTGGAAGACCCTCGCCTCATGGCATATGCGTGCGCAAAGCAGGTCAAACACGAGGTTAGAAACGTCTTCACTCCAATGCCCATCTGGCTCTCTTGGAAGGCATATCATCCCTCTCGCAATTTAATTGATACTTACGGTTCGATCTTTGTAGAGAGTGATATTCGAAAAGCGGGGGGCTTATGTCTCACTGCTGTTCATTCCCCCAGCCATCGCCGCATTCATATGGCTGAGGAGATCGAGGCACCTATGCCGTTTCTTGAAGTCACTGTGGCCAGCCAAAACATATAAAACGTACCGGAGTGCTCTTCAAGAGGACCAGTACTGGACTACCGCAACGATGTATGGACACCGTCTCCAGAGGTCTGACGCACGGTTCAGTGGCTCGAAGGGGGCGACTGAGTCCGCAATTCAAGTGGTGACATTCTATATACCGGCCCTGTTGCCCAGATATCGACAAAAGGAAAGGAAGGCGATGCCAGAATACTTCTTGTCGCTGCGCTCGCTTTGCAAATGGCATCGAATGGTATTTCCTGGTCCAGTGAGCATTTCAAGATCAATTTATATATATTCGTCTTCAGCTCAAGACGGATCAGGGCCACCCAAATATTTCCCAAGCCTCCAAGTTGAGAGAAGGCTTCAGCCTAGAGGATAGACAAGAGATACATCGGATATCCCGAATGCGTTCCGACGAGCTGGTTTTTGGGGCGAAGGCTGGCAAGTGGAAGCCAAAGTACAGGATTATTTGGAGGAAATGGTTGACGAGAGAGGACCGCAAGCTGGAGATCATATTTAGGAACAACGAGTTGGTAGATTGAGGGGAACGGTTCAACGAGGAGTGGCGTGATTCGAACAGGGCTCAAAATTTGGCGGAACAGGAGACTGAAGCCGCTAACCTGTGCGCAATTCATGTAAAGAACTGAGACGAAAGTAGAGGTGACGGAAGGAAAGAGTTCCCAAGAACTTGGATGCCCACTCATAACGAAGTATGAGTAACACTCCACAGCGCAAGAATAAAACGGAGGCGTAGGGTAAAAGCCGAAAGGTGTGCGAATGTAAGACCGTAAAAGGCAATTAGAATTGCATCATCAATCCCAGGAGCGCTACATCTTGACTTGTGCTGCACTGGCAGATGGGCATTTCACACGAAGTCGCTTGTCCTTTGCCATGACCCCGGTTCACCAGCTGCGCCTATCGGACGTCCTCATCCTCGTTGCAGGCGTATGGCTCGTCGTAAAGGTCGTGCGCCGTATTGCGACTCGAACTGCGCAAGGAACGAAACTTAACGGGCCGCCTAACGAGAGCTTCCTTTTTGGGCTCACTCGTCGACTTGTGGGCGCCCCCGATAACGGCTTAGTGTACCAGGAATGGGTTGCGAAATATGGACCTGTCTTCCACCTCCCTATAGCTTTCCTTGGGCGCAAACTCATCCTCTGCGATCCTAAAGCCGTCAATCACTTTTACAGTATGGAGAGGACAATTTATGTCAAGTCAAAGCTTGGCCGTGCGGTCATCGAGAATTTGGTCAGTATTTAGAGCTGGATTTATCCTCTCAACTCACACTACTTGAAGTTTGGCCGTGGGCTATTATGGGCTGAAGGAGAAAGTCACAAGAGGTAATGTTGAGCCCTAGGAACTTGAAGCCCAGAGACCGGTCGACTAATAAAATCCACTTCGCGAATTCGTCTGCCAGGCAGCGCAAAGCCTTGACACCTGCGTTCAGCAACGCCGCTATCCGAAAATTGACGGAAGTCTTTTACGACTCGGCACACAAAGTTTGCAGCATTCCTACCTCGATGCCTCGATTCCTAACCACCAGTCTGCTTGCTTTAGCTAAAGATGCATTGGGACACAACCCTCGACAACGCTCCACCGGAGGGTGTCATTATCGACGTCGAACGTTGGGCGAATCACGTTGCGTGAGAAAATCCGACCTATACCCCTGGGAATTGTTACTGAAGCCAGTCCAGACTCGACAGTATCGGAATCGCTGGATTCTCGTACGACTTCCGTACCCTCGACGGAGAATATTCAGCGGTCGCTGCCGCCTTTGACTCTCTGTCGTTCGAGGGTCAAGGGTTCCTCTCCAATCTCGTCTTCCTGATCGGAATCCAGTTCCCTTTCCTGGCGACACTCCCTACGGAGAGAAACCGCATCATGAAAAACCTCCGTCGGACAATGAGTGGTATTGCGGATCAATTGTTGGAGAAAACCCGGCGGGAAACAAAGAGCCACATCTCGGACGACAGCAGAGATAGATCTGTCATCGGACTATTACGTAAGACTATCGGATTTGTTTCAACGCTGCTCACGCGCTTTTCAGTCAAAGCAGAGGCAGAAAACGCCGAGCTCCACATGGATGAAGGCGAAGTTCTCGCACAAGTATGCATCCTTCTTCGCATCTATTAGTATCCTGACATCTTATTTTTCAGATGGTAAGGATCATTCATCTGAAAGCAGTTGTATTCTGACGCCAGGAGTAGAATGTTCTGCTATTGGCCGGTAGGCCCTTCTGTAATAAATTTGCTCGGTCCCTCGCTGAATGTTCCCAGGTTATGAAACGACGTCGAGTGTGTACTTTCGCTCCCATTTTCGAAGCGAAACTAATAAGGACATGGTGCCCATGGCCAGTCAGTCTCACTGTATGTAGTCTCGATTTTGGATTCACTGTCCTCTTTTACGTAACTCGGGGACGCACAGTGGGCCTTGATTGAACTCGCAAGGAAGCCGGAGAAACAAGCTAAACTGCGCGAAGAGCTCTTTCGATTCGGTGCCACCGACCCGACTTGGGACCAGTTGAATTCCTCATTGCCTTATTTGGACTCTGTAGTCCTGGAAACTTTGCGGTTGCATCCACCTTTAAGCGAAACCACGCGTCAGGTAGGTCTCGCTGGCATGACTTGCCGATGCATTAATAGCACTCCTCCAGGCTGCAGTCGACGATATAATCCCCGTTTCAGAGCCCATAACCACCGCATCTGGGGAGGTCGTCGACAGTATCGTAGTTCGAAAGGGCACCATCGTCACTGTGCCAATTCGCTACATGAATCAGTCAGAGGTCTTCTGGGGCCCGAACTCACGAGAATTCGAGCCGGAGCGGTGGCTGACGCTTGCGGACGACCCTCTGCGTGCGAAAGAGATCCAGGGCCACCGCCATCTTATCACTTTCCTGGACGGTCCGCGAACGTGTAAGTGCGCGATATATATCGCGCAGATATATATCGCGCAGCCTTTCAAATCACAAATGTCGCATCCTGAAATTCCGTTTACAGGTCTTGGAAAATCCTTCGCACTGGCCGAATTCAAGGTGCGCGTTTCGTTATTTGTGAGGATGTCACTGAGCCGGTGCACGTAGGCGGTGTTGTCTGTGTTGATCAAGAATTTCACCTTTGAATTTCCTGATGGGCCGGAAACCGAAATCGGGATCCACCGGGCGTTGATCCCGAGGCCCAAGGTCGTTGGCCAGCCTGGCGGTAATGTGCCCATGAGGGTCAGACGCGCCGAATGATGATTTTCTGTACTCCTTTGTATGTGTACCCAAACAGACAAGGTTTTGGATACTGTCTGCGCAAAAGAAAAGGAATTACTAAGTAGTGGTCAACATGGTCGTAGATCTTATGACCCCTTCTAATTTCCTCAACTGTTGTTCGAAAAGAACGGGAGGAGCTGCCTATTAGTGTACCATTTCGTTCAATTCTAATTGGCTGTGA